CAATCCCTGGCATCACAATCCTGACTTGAAATTATACTATAAAACTACTGTGATTAAAACACATGGTACTGGGGGGGGGGGGAAAGACCCAAGATTAACAGAACAAATTAGAAGACAGAGAAACAATTCTAGACATACTCAGCCACTTTATCTTTGACAAAGGTGCCAAACATATTCACTGGAAGATAGCCTCTTTAATAAATGGAGCTGGACAAACTGGCTCTGCACATGCCAAAGATTAAAAGTGGCCCCATGTCTTTCACCATGCACTAAACTAAATTTGAAATGGATCAAAGATCAAAATATTAAAAACAGAAATATTAAATCTGTTGGAAGATAAAATACTTACAACTCTTGAAGACATTGTTGTAGGCAAAGACTTTATGAATAAAACCCTGATCACACAGAACTATCACAAAGAACCAATAAAAGGGATCTCATCTTATTAAAAAGCTTCTATACAACAAGAGAAACCATCAACAGAGTGAAGATAACCCACAACGTGGGAAAAATGTTTGCAGCTATTCCTCAAAGAATTACTGTTGAGAAGATATAGAAACCTCAAAAATACCAGAACTCCCAAATTTAAAGAGCCAATTTAAAAATGGGCATCTCAGATGAATACACACTTCTCAGATGAAGGAATACAAACAGCAAATAAACAAGTGAAAAAAATATTCAAAATCATTGATCATTCAACAGATGCAAAGTAAAATAACACTGAGATTCCATTTCACCCTGGAATAAAAGGCTATTATCAAGAACTTAACAAATAAGAAATTCTGGGGGGCAGGGGTGCTGGGGAAAAAGGAACCCTTTTCCACTGTTGATGGAAGTAATGCAACCACTGTAGATATCAAGGTGGACAGGCCTCAAAGAACTAGGATTGGAGGTCCCATTTACCCAACTATTCCCTTTACGGGTATTTTCCCAAAAGAATTAAAAACACCATGCCACAGCTCTATATTTGCAATCCTATTTACAGCAGTACAATCTGTAATAGCTAGTTCCTGGAAATAATCCAAATGCCCATCAACTGAGGAATGTATTAAAAATATGTGGCCTTTTTATACAACGTAGTGCTCCTCAGCCACAGAGCAGGAGAGACTGGAGACTTACAACTCGAGACCATAATCATAAGTGAAATAAATCTGATGCACATGTGTAGACATCAGATTGTCTTCCTAGTGTGAGAAGCCAAAAGAAATTTTAAGTAAGACCCAAAATGTAAATTAGATATTGTAAAACAGGAAGAAACCTCAGAAGGAGAGACTTGGATGGAAGGAGGGAAAAAGAAAAAAATAGGTAGATGGATGGATGCATAGACAGACAGACAGACAGAGAGACAGACAGCTAGCTAGAAGCCAAGTAGACTACTTTCTCTTAGTTCATTGAAAAAAAAAACTTTTAGATAATTAAATGTCAATCTCTTATATGCTGTAATTTAAAGATAATAATACTCAACGTATTAACCATTCTTACCCTCCTATTATCTTTTTTTGAATTTATTCTCTTTTTAAAAAAAAAGTAAGTTATCCAGTTTGGGTGCAATTTTCCTGTTTCAGCTTCTACAAGTGTGTACCACCTTTCCTAGCCTAAAATAATCATGGAAAAAGATAACCAAGTTGAAGACCTGATACTTCCTAATTTCAAAACAAGCTACCAAGAAAAAGCATTCAAGATGTGGAGTCCTGACACAAATATGGGGACACATACCCATTCACACACACAACCCTCCCCCGCATGGAGCAGAATAGAAAGTTAAGAAATAAACCTTTGTATATATGTATTATACAACGTACAATGGATTAATATCATTGGATATTAAATGATATTTAATGGATTAAATATCAATATGTAGGATCAAATGATAAAACTCCCAGAAAACAAAAAAACAGAAAGAAACACATGATGGAGTAGCACACATGATGAAGGCTGAAAAGTTTCAGAACACTAAATTTGGCAGTAATGACTTAGTTAGAACACCAAACACCCAGGAAACAAAAACAAAAAGAGAACAGAACTTCATCAAAATTAAAAACTTCTCTACACCAAAAGAAACAATGATACAATGAAAAGGCAATTTGTGAATGGGAGAAGATATTTTCAAATCATATATTTGATAAAGATTTAGAACTGAATATATAGAGAAATACTACAATTAAAAAAAAAAACCTCAAATAACCCAATCTTAAAATGGCAAAGGTCTTGAGTAGGTAATTCTTTAAAGAAGATATGCAAATGGTCAAATGATGAATGACAAGATGCTCACTGTCATAACTCACAGAGAATGTAAATCCAAACCACGAGCTATCATTCAATACCATTAATATAGCCACAGTGATAAAGACAAAACCTTGTGGAGAAACTTGGACCCTCGTGTACTACTGGGGCGAATCCAAAAAAGTGCAGTTGTTCTAGAAAACAGTGTGACAGTTCCTCAAAAGAATGTTTTAAAAATATAACTCAGCAATCACTTCTGAATATGTAGCCAGAGATTCAAAGCTGGATCTCAAAGAGGTATTTGTGTACTCACGTTTATTGTGGCATTATTCTCAATGCCCAAGAGGAATGAGCAGTGTAAATGTCAGTGCATGGCTGAGCACGTAAAGCAAATGCAGGAGTCAGATACAAGAGAATAGTGTGATGACTGAGTGAAGGAAATCTAAGCATTTGCCACAATTTGATGGTCCTTGTGGATGTTACAGCAAGTTAAATAAGCCAGTCACAAAAGGACCAATACTATATGATTCCAATCGTATGAAATATCTAAAGTAGTCTTGGAGATGGGGGAATTCGTGTTTAATGGACATAATCTCAAGTTTGTAAGATGAGAAAGTTCCAGAGATCTGCTGTACAACAAAATGAATATACTTGATTAATGCATATATTTGATTCTACTGAACCATATTCTTAAAAATGGGTGGGCTGGTTAAAAATACCTACCAATGCCTATAAAATTACACATTGTTAGTTACTTAGAGTGCGTATATTTGAAATAAAAAGTCTTGGTAATTTAAAAAAAAAATTTTAATGAGAGGTTAAGATAATGTCATCAGAATTCGGAGAAAAAAGGAAGTTAGCTGCAGGAAAATAAACTATCCAAGAGGAGTGAGAGTAGTATTTGTTCTTTTCCATGAAGAGCTCTGCTGAATTCTAAGAATCACTGAACACAGTTCATCCTGCACATCTTGCAGTATACATGATGACAGGTAAAAGAATGCCCTGGAACCAAGTATAACAAAGCATGGTCATCCTGCAATGACAGCTGGGTTCAAAAGCTGGCTCTGCTTTTTGCCGGTGGACACCACCAAGGGAGCATCATCACTCTTTCTTCTGACTGCTGTTGTGTCTAACTCAGAGCCTTCTACAGAGCCCAAACAGCTGCTGAAGCTCCTCCTTGGAGGCATGAGCTTTGAAACAACTGATGAGGGTCTGAGAAGCCATCATGAGCAGTGGGAAGCACTTGTGCACTGCGTGGAAATGAGAGATCCAAACTCCAATTGTTCCAGGAGCTTTGGGTTTGTCACGTATGCCACTGTGGCAGAGGTGGATGCAGCCATGAATGCAAGACCACACAAAGTAGGTGGAAGAGTTGTGGAACCAAAGACAGTGGTCTCAAGAGAAGATTCTGAAAGATTATCATTAAAAAATACACTGAAGAACACTACCTACGGGATTATTTTTAACAGTATGGAAAAATTGTGATTGAAATCATGACTGAGGCAGTGAAAAGAGGAGGTACCTTGCTTTTGTAATCTTTGATGACTGATTCTGTGGATCAGACCATCATTTAGAAATATCATACTGTGAAGTGAGGAAAGCACAATGAAAGCCAGAGATGACAAGTGATTCATGCAGCCAAAGAGGTTGGAGTGGCTCTGGAAATTTTGGTGGTGGTCATAGAAATGGTTTTGGTGTCAGTGACAATTTTGGGTGGTAGTGGGATGGCTACAGTGGATTTGGTAATGATGGAAGCAAGCAACTATGGAGCTAATGAGAGCTACAATGGATTTGGCAATCACAGCAATCAATCTTCAAATTTTGAACTCATGAAAGGAGGAAACTTTGGAGGAAGAAGCTCTGGGCCCCATGGTGATGGAGGCCAATACTCTACTAAACCATGAAATCAAGGTGGCATGGTGGTTCTTGCAGCAGTGGTAGCTATGGCAGTGGCCAAAGGTTTGAAATACTTCAAGGGGAGGAATCTGCTATGCAAGTTTATCAGCTGTTAATTAAAAAACAAAAGCAAACAAACAAAAAGCAACCTTCAAGTTCATAGCTGAAAAGGAACGTCCTTGTGAGGACAAAACTTTATCTCAGGCAGAGCACTTCATTCTCATTGCCTGCAGTTGGTTTTAGCTATTGTGCAGCTCTAGTTAATCATTCAACTTTGTGAATTGGTTTTTAAATAAACTGCCTTTAGTTAAAAAAATAAAAATAAAAAAGCTAGCACTATCAGCTAGGTAGGGGGGTGCATGCCTATAATCCCAGTACTGAGGAGGCTGAGGCAGGAGGATCACCATGAATTTGAGGCCACTCTGAGCTACATAGCAAGTTCAAGGCCAGCCTGGAGTACATGTGTGGATCCTGTCTCAGGGAGAAAAAAAAAAAAAAAAAAATCAAGAACAGCCACCAGTACCAGTGACTAGCTGGAAAAATCTGAGAAATCTGCTCTAATGTCTCTACAACTCATTTCCTCATTTGTACAATGATAAAAATAATTATATCTCATATTCTAACTTTTGATATAGCAGCTTTACCACGTTAGGAGTCAAGGTTTCCTAGAACTTGAAAGCACAAAAACAAATGCTACCAGTCACCATCTGGGAAACAGCTTGGAAAGCTGCCCGATCCCCTCCAAGACTCACCTGTACCACAGCAATAATAACTCACATCACATGTTCCCATTTCAGTATAGTAGCTCTCCCACCTAAGGAATCCACGTTTCCCAAAATGGAAAATAAATGGCACAATTTGAAAAGCAGGAAAGAACCTACCGCTGATTCACAAACGGGCTGGAGAGCTCCGCAAGCACCCGGAAGTTCGCGATGCACTCCAGCACTTGAAGCTTCTGGGTGACAAACACAGGACACAACATCAAAGATAATGTTCTTATTAAAATATCCAAAAAAGAAATAAAAATAAAAATGAGCCTACCTATTTTTTCATTCTCTTAATGAATAGAGGGATTTGTTCTAATGTTGTTTGTAAATAGGATATCATGTCCACCTCTTGTACAGCAATTAACCACTAGGAAGAATGTATGCAATGTGTTAATTATTGAAATTGTCCTACCAATTTGGTTTGAAACTGTCTTATTGCTATTTGTTTCTCAATAAAATTATGGAAAAAAAATAAAAAAATAAAATATCCAAAGGCTTCCGAAACATTCAATAGATGTAACAATCAATATAAAAATGGATAAAGAAATTTTCTACTTCTCACTATGGAACTGATTTTCTTCAAAAAATGAAGAAAATTTTTTTCTTACAATAAATGTCTGCAAAGTCCTGCAGTATTTTTAAGAGATGGTATGTTCACTTAAGTATTTACTGTTCACGTAGGAGAACAGGTGTCAAGCAGTTGTCTTACACTAAACTAATCAACTCTGTAATGTACTATCAGCAACATTGTTCTCCAGTTACCATAGAAGGAAGGATCACATGGTTGTTTCAGTTGCAAACGTTGAGAAATTTTATAGCACTTAAATACTAATAGGAAACCATTTTTATATTACTATGTCGAATTACCTTAAAAATCCCAAAAGTATTGTTATCTCAGATAACAAGATGTATGTAAGAATGTGTGTAGATATGTATTTGCCAAACACAACAGCATGTCAAATCTGATCTATCATACTTAACATAAAAATAAGTAACTGCCAATCTGGATGGCCTAGAGCTACAACAGACACTTTTCAGACCTTTCTAAGTACCTAGTACACTGTATCAATTTATTAGTATGAAAACTACAGCAAAGTTAGTAAACATTGGGAAGGAAATCAAAAGTAAGCATTCTAAGAATTCTATTTAATACACTTCAAAAATTGCTTTTAGATAAGTACAGTGTCTCAGTTACTTTTCTCTCATTGCTGGAACAAAATACCTGACACCCAAAATTAAGGAAGGAAAGTTTTGTTTAGCTCACAGTGGAGGTTTCAGTCCACACTCGACTGGTTCCCAGGCAGAGCGGGTGCATGGCAGAGGGCAGCCTTTCAGACAGCAAAGAGCAGAGGGAGGGGCAGCAGCTGCAGCAGCTAGCAAGCCTCTCCTGTCCCCACATCTGTATGGAGATTATCTGCCTGAGGGCAGGTGTAGCCTTCACACCCATAATCCCGGCAATGGATCAAGAATTAATTGCGAACTCTAAAAGCCACCCCAAGACTGCATGAGGCTTTCTGTCAACAACTAGACACAAGCCATAACATAGAGTCACTATAAATTTCCTATTAAATCAGAATTAAGACTACATGTCACAAAATTAGTTCTATTCACTCCTGATAAATTAGGTTCTACACACAAAACAGAGGAAACTATACAAGAAGCATTCAAAACCAATTAACTTTTTTTAAATTTAACTTTCTAATTTGAAGATTCTTATCAGGTATCTGTGTCACATCTGAAAAATTTAAAATTCAGACTAATGACAAGAATTAGCTTCTTCAAGGTTAGAAACTTTTTACACTCTCAAATTTGTTATCTTTGGTGATACCAGAATGCCTGACAAATAAGAAGGAAGAAAGGATGGCCACAGAAACAAAACTAACAGGCAAGATGGGCAATGCATTCACAGGCATGGGGGCGTCAGAGAGTCCACCTACACAGCGATACTAATCCAAAACCTAAACATGAGAAAGAATTATGCACAGGCTGTATTACTTTATTATAAAAATATGATGTGGCCAGGCATGGCAGCACATGCCTGTAATCCCAGCACTCAGGAGGCTGAGGAAGGAGGATCTCTGGCTGTGAGTTCCAGGACAGCCTAGGCTACACAGTGAGTCCAAGGCCAGTCTACATTGCCAATGAGACCCTTTGTCAATAAAAAAATAAATACATGTTGTTATGCTGAGCTGTAGGGGACTCAGGTCAACAACTTCTGACATTTGCCAGTCAAGCAGAAGACCCAATACTATTTTGAACTACTGGACTCTTCTCATTTTGCTGAATTAACACACCTATAATATTCAAGTAACGGAACTTAACAAAAACAGGGGATACAGATGAATGACCATTTTGTATCTGCATATTCAAAATGGTTAGGATAATTCAATGAATAGAGGGATTTGTTCTAACAGTGTTTGTAAATAGGATATCATGTCTGCATCTTGTACAACAAATAACCACTAGGAAGACAATATGCAATGTGTTAATTATTGAACCTGTCCTACTATTGGATTTGAAACTATCTCATTGCTATTTGTTTCTCAATAAAATTATGGAAAAAAAAATAAATACATAAATAGTTAATAGTAGCAATAGTAACAATACTAATTATGCAAATAAACTGAAAAAATGACAGGTTTTTTTCCTATTCCTTTAACTCTGACATTTAAGTTTAGTGAGTCATAATACTGAATGATTTTTGGTTTTGTTTTGGATGGAGCCCAGAACCTTCATGCTGAATTACATCCTCAGCTTTTCCCCTCCCTTTTCATTTGGAGACAGGATCTTCTTCAGTTGCTAAGTTGCCCGGGCTGGATTCAAATTTGTCATCCTCCTGTCTCAGTCTCCCAAAACAGTAAGATTACAATGATATGCTACCATGCCTGGCAATCAGAAAAGACTGTCAGTATGACTCCTCAAAGGCGTAATGAATTCATGTATTCAATAAGCATAAAGTCATATCTCTTAAAAACAAATCCTCCCATTCATAACATTGCCTCTCACTCATAACATTTTCTCTCTCCCTTCAATTAAAAGCAACTCTTCTTTTTTAAATGTATTAGTACAGGGTTTACAGGGCCTTATCACACAGATCAGGCTTGTAGTGATCCTTCCTGTTTTTTAGCCTCTCAAGTGAAAAGTAACTCCTTTTCCAGCCTATTTTTCCTCACAGCAGTCTTCTTTCAGTTACTTATTTTAGCTCTATGGCATTCTATATACTTGGAGAACATGACAAACATGACTTCTTCAAAATATTATGAGCTAATGGGTTCCTAATGTCAGCCAAAATCCTTTCTGAATTATATACTGTGTTCCTCAAGTAAGTTTTTTTTTCCAGCATGAGATCCCTTATCAAAATGCATTTTATAGAGCGCAGGCCTGGCGAGTGAGTGAGACGACCTAGGCCTCAGGATCCTGAACAGACACAGAGTGCAGGCCCGGCAAGTGAGTGAGACGACCCAGGCCGTGGGATCCTGAACAGACCCAGAGTGCAGGCCCGGCGAGTGAGTGAGACGACCCAGGCCGCGGGATCCTGAATACACCCAGAGTGCAGGCCCGGCGAGTGAGTGAGACTTCCCGGGCCCAGGGATCCTCTTTTGACCCAGGCTGCAGGCCCAGCAGGAAACCCTTCAACAGAACTCCCTGCAAGGAGGCTAGAGGCAAGACCGACCCAGCTGATTCAGGAGCAGAACATCTTGCCAGAGAGACACAAAGGGTTCAACTCTAACACCTGCAGCAGAAAGAAGTGGAGCCGCAGCAGCCAGAACCAAACAACACCCACCTGGAGGAATCCGAACTTCATAAATCCGGACCTGGTGCTAAGGTAATAACTCTATCTAAGCTCTACACCAAAGGTCAGAAGACAGGTATACAAAATGACAAAGAGAAGGAACAAAATGCAGTTTCAGGTCCCGAGTCCACCCAGTATAAATGCAGAAGACACTATCACTGAGGAAACTTTAAATCACACACCAGATATCTCTGAAATAATAGCGTTGACAGTAAAGAATCAACTGCAGAAAGGTATAGAAGAAATAATTTCAGAACTAAAAAATATAGTGGTAACTATAATCAAAGAAGTACTAAGTGCTTCTAAAGAATACACTGACAA